CCAGTTCTCTCCCCGCCACACCGCTGCCCCTCCCTTCCAGCTGGTCACCCCTGCTGGCCTCACAGCCTAGGAGTTTGTGTCAGCTTCATGGAGCTGCCCCCTCCACCGCGCGCCCAGCTGTGTGCCCTTCCCTGCCTCCTTTCACCGAGCATCACCCCAGGCCCGCCCAGGCCAGGCTCCTTAAACAGCCCGGCCGTTCCCGCAACGACTGGCCTGTCCGTCAGATGTCAGCTCAGAACTAAGCCCCGCGGGCCCTGAGCTCGGCGCTGCCCTCCCCAGCCCTCCTGGAGGCCCCGGAACCTGTAGCCCCGGCGGCCGGCGGTGGCGGCGCGCCCTCTGGTGTCCGCCGGAGGGACAGGCGGCCCGGAAGGCACTCAAGGGTGACCTGACCGCACAGACACTGACCACAGGCGCCCCAGAAACCCAAGGCCCAGGCCCCTGCGACGCCCTGGGTCCCGGTCACAGCCTGTTGGGTTGGTCCTGCAGGCCTGCGCCTCCTGCACTCTGGTTAAGGGGGGCGGGGCGCAGGAGAGGCTGGTGCGGAGGCAGCTGTGCCCTGAGCCGCCTTTCCTGCTTCTGTTCTCACTCGGGAAACAGCAGCCTACTCCTGAGCGATGGCCACAGGCCAGCCCCATCCACCATCGCTCATACGCTCCTGCGCCCGCCAGCTAGAGCCTCGGGACCACGGACGCGGCCTCTGCAGCAAGGGGCACTGGATTTACCAAGAAAAGTCCAGGGCTCCAGGCAGATGTGGGTTTCAGATAAAAATGAGTCATCCTGGGCCTCTCTGGGGACGCAGGCGTTAAAGTCTCAGCACTATCCAGCTATGACCAGCCACTGCAGCAAAAGTTCCATCCCTAGCCAGGGGGCTACCCACGGGGCGAAGCAGACCTCGCCTGTCTCCCCGCTACTCCCCACTCTGTCTCTGGTGATTCTTCTCACCACCTGCACCTCTGACCTACACCCTAGTTCTTGTATGAGTAAATAAAACAAATCTTAAAAATGAGTAATTCTTAGAGTGAACGTGTCCCTGGCAACATTTGGAAAATGCCGTAAATACTGCGTGGGATACTCGTACGATAAAAAAGTATTCACTTGTTTGTTAGAAATGGAAAGGTAGCCGGTACCTGCGTTTTCTCTGGCAACCCTATTTGAAAGCTGACTGGGCAATCTTCAGGGCCTCCGGGACCTCTTGAGGATTTGGGGTGTGTGAAGAGTAGAGCCGGGACCCCGGAATGCGCAGAGAGAAAGTCAGCAGGAGCTTCAGGAAGTGCATCCCCAGGAGCCGGACGCAAAGCCGGTAACGTCAGGAAAACTGGTAACAGGTGCCCGGGGCAATCCCCTCAATATATAACCGGTTTGCGTCACGCGAGGCGGGAGGACACGGCTGCGCTCTCGCAAGCATTATATGTCTCTAGTCCAAAAGGACATCCCTCAAATGTCTGAAGCATAAATTAACATTTGTGCTGCTGTTGCTGACAGTGGCCGGCTTGTTAGGGAGCAACTTGTGCGTGACGGGCCAGGAACTTACATTTCACTCCTCGCGACGGGACGGGGGGAGGCGGGCCCTGTGTTTCTGGGCTCTTCAAATACTGTCTGCAGGTTGGAGGTCAGCGCGCGGACGGCTGCCCAGCAAGCCCCAGTCCCGACCCAGGTGCCCAGCACGCCCCAGCCCTGACCAGCTGGTGACTCAAGCGGCTTTCAGGGCCTCCATCGATTCATCCCCAGGCGCCTCCTCCCTGCCACCGCTCCTAACTTTAAAATAATAAGATCTTTCAACATCCATGCCTGGAAGAACGTAAGCGTGCATCCCCCCTCCCCCCAAAGTCATCCAGGTATCCCCGAGAAGCTGGCCATCCCACAGTACTGGAGATGAGGACCAGAATTATTTTATTGCAAGAGTGAAAAGGAAATTTTTAATCAAAATGTGAATCTGTTGACTTTTCAGATACAAAAAAAATGAAGAGGACGTTGTTTGTTGTGTGCTGGGGAGTGGCCTCTCTGTGCCTCAGTTTCCTCTCCTGTAGAAACGGCGCGACCGAGGGGTCCAGGGCCTGAGCCTCCCGGGCCTGCCTGGCACAGCAGGGGCCCGACCAGCAGGGCCACCGCCGTCCTCACCACCAGGGCCCCCAGGGGTGTCCAGGGAGAGACAGTGGGTTTAAGTCTAAACAGAGTTCAAGTCGCCCCCACTTTGCCAAGCTGCCTAGGCAAATATCCAGAAGGTTCCACCCTGGGATCGCCGGTCGGTTCAGGGAGAAGGTTCACGGGGAATTCTGTGGAAGGCGGACACCCACCTTAGCTACTCACCTCCGGGTGGGCATTGGGCCGCTCCGCAGCCTGGCCATGTAAACAGGGCCACCGAACCGTCCTGCTTCCTGACTGACACATCGAGAGTAAGCGGCGCTGAGGGTCATACCTCCAACTCCCCGAAGCCATGGCTCGGGACAGCAAAGCAGTAAGGCAGGGCCAGCTCTGGGCAATTCTCCGGGAGATATGCAAGTACGCCCCAGCAGGTGCTGACACCGAGGTGGAAGCAAAATAAGTGGAACAAAGTAAATCCTCGGCAGGAAGTGGGGAGAGGTGGGTGGAATAAGGAGATGAGGGAGTGGGAGGTTGTGCGTGAGATCTGCAAACAGGCATGGAGCAGCGAGTCTTCCCTCTGCTGGGCATACGAACCCCAGCAAGCAGGCCCCTTTCTGGAGCCGTCGACTGTCCCCGCTCCTTCCTGTACTGTGGGGGCTGGCGGGGGGAGAGGCTTGAGGGGGAACACCTCCAGCCCCCCAGGGAGCCTTGGTCATCCTCACCAGCCTCCAGACCCCGCTCTGCCCTTCCATCCTTAGATATCACTCAGCTTCCCTCTGCTCCGGGATTGGGCAGAACCCTCAGGTCCGTTGGGGCACCCGGCACCACAGGGCGCTGTCACTGGGCTTTGCGCAGAAGGGAGCAGGTGACCCAACCAGCCAGGCATCCCCAGACGGGGGAGTCGCGCAGACAGTGCAGGGCAGGGACGCGGGTTAGAGACGCAGGCGCCCCAAGCGTGCCGGCTCGGGGTGGGGAGCGTGGACGTGGTTTGCGGAGAGCCGGGTCCGCAGGCCTGGGGCTGCCAGAGACCAGGACCCTGGACCAGTGCACCCAGGGCCTGTCTGGCCACACTGAGGTGAACAGGGACCTTTTCATGAGTTGCTGCTTTAGAGTCAAAAAAAAGAAAAAATGTGGCCGCTCGGCAGCCACAGCCAGAGCGCTGCGCGTTGCACCTGCAACCCCCGCGCTGGACCCTTCCCCTGCGCCCGGCTCTGCAGCCCTCCGCCCGCCCCACACACGGCCCCACTCATGACTCCCCACAGAGGGCAGGCGGGCGGGTCCCAGGGCATCAGCTCCGTGCAGACCCCGAGGCCCCACCGCAGCGCCCGGGGAGGGGGCTCTCTGCAGGCCTCATCCAAGAACCAGGCCATCCAGTCGCCCGCGGAGCACACACCGGCACAGAGACCCCGGGGCGGTGGGACCCGGTTACTCCAGGGCCAGACCGCGGTGCCCGGAGGAGGGGTGCCCGCCCAGGGCGGCCGCCGGAGGCTGGATTATTACAGCAAGGCTGGCCTGACGGCGACAGCCAGTGCCGCGTCATTTTGACTTTGACATCAGAAATCCTTGGGTTTGTGATTATTAATTTTTAATAATTTAAAGCCACAGTTTCTCTTATGAATCACACAATTTTGAAATTCCTAGTGGCGAATACGAACTGAAGAACTGAAGGTCAGCCACAGGGACCAGACAGCTGCCTGCTTTTGAGACCCGGTACAGGGTAGAAAGAACTCGCGTTTAACAGCAGAAAGATGTCTCCATGACGCCGACGTCAAGCTCTAGCTTCTTTGCTCCTTTTTAAAAGAATTTATTTCCATCTGACCAAATGGAATGAACATGCTTGCCAATTAGTGCCCCACGCAATTATTTTACCAACCAATGTATATTTCTCTTTAATGAGCCTGACAGTTATTTTTAAAAGAAACGTTATGAAATATTCTTCAATTAAGTAAGGAATTACTTAACAGATAAATATTCTCCGCGGGGCTCTCCTGGGGCTCTGAGGAAGCCGTGTGCTTGATGAACCTTGGAGTTTGTTTGGCAGTCGTAATTTTTACAAATGAGACGGAATGGAGGGATCGTAAAGTAGGAATTAATCACAAGCGATCGGGACTGCAGTCACGCAGGAGCTCATTATTCACGTTGGTTAAGCTGGAGAACGGGCTGGATCTTTCTACCATGAATGCACATCTTCAAGGTTTCTGCAGGTCAGTCCTCGGCCGGGCTCTCTCTCTCGCGGCTGCCAGGGACAGGTGACCAGAGGAGGGACGCCAGCGCACACCGGACGCGCCACAGCGTCAGCACGCACCTGTGTGGTCAGGTCCGAGACACACCTGCTGGGCGCAGCCACGAAGCTAGACTATGGCATCATGAGACACCTTCGTGTGGCACTGGGTACCCTCCCAGGCCCTCAGCACCAGCCTTCGTCTGCGGGCACCGCACACGGACTCTCCCCAGGGCAGGGCGCCCACGCCTGGAAGGCCAGCGACAGGGCCTTCTCCCGTGTCCCCATGTGGCAGGGCGCCAAGGCCCACAGCACGGGGCTGTTGTGGGGGACGCCCACATGCTGGAGGTACATGTCAATATTCTTTTAAGAAGTGTGGGGAGGGGCTGGGGCATCCTGGTGGCGCGGGGGTTACAGCCTCAGCACTGCCACGCTCTCCTTAGCCACCGTGGCCTAAGTTCCATGCCCGGCCAAGAGCTGACCCACAGGGCGCAGCAGACCGCTCCCGTCTCCCCGCCGCTCCCCTCAGCAGTGGATTTCAGTGGATCCGCCTGCTCTGCTCCCCACTCTGTTTCTGGGGAGTCCTCTCCCCCCTGCATCTCTGGCCTGCACCCATTTATTTTTGCATAAATAAATAAAATAAATCTTTAGGGAAGAAAAGAGTGGGGCGGGGGAACCAAATGACCACGACGCCGCACGGGAAATCTTTACAAAGAGTCTACGCTTTATTACAACAGTGCAAGGTCGTGCTTCATCCAACATCACCAACAGCAAACCGGCGTCTCCTGCAGAACAGTTCCAGAAAGGTCACACAGGGAACAAAGAGACGGTCCCCTGCAGCGGCCTTCGGCGCCCAGCACTCCCATTAGGGGCGGCCGTGGCCAGCGGGCTCGTGGGGCAGCTCCCAGGCCGGCCTGTTCGCCTCTGCACACACCAGGACACGCCGCACGACGACGGACGGACCACAGCACCCGGACACCAGCGTCTCTCGTGCTCAGATCGGCCAGTTGTACCAAAGACCATAATACAAAATGATAGGAAATATAAACATCCATTTGTATTGCAAGTTTATAACATTTTATTTACAAAAATAGGCTGGGAGGGGCGGGAGGTCGCCCTGACTCTGTCCCGGGGGGCTACTGCGCCAGCTCTGGGCTTTCTGGCCAGGCTGAACGCCCTCGGAGCCGGGGGTCACTGGAAGCCGGGAGGAGGCGGAGGGGCAGGGGCGCGCACACTCCACGCGGTGGCCCTGCTGGACGGCCCCGCCGGGCGGACTCCAGCCGCGCCTCATGCACTGGCGACGAGGGGTTCGGGGCCGCCCGCGCCCCGCGGCGCCCACACTAGGACATGACGCCAAAGACCGGGTTGTGGCGGCAGATGCTGGGGCCGTACTCCTCGTAGTCCTTCTTGGTGTGGCAGACCTGGAAGAACTCGGGCTGGGACGGGGCGCGGAGAGGGGACTGTCAACGGCCGCCGGCCCGAGGGGGACTCCCCGCCCCGCCTGCTCCCGACCCTGCAGGGCCTGGGCCTCGCTGCCCACTCGCGCTCTCCTCCCACGTCTGAGGGGGAAGGAACCAGCACTGGCAAAGTCTCGACTAACCAGGCGGCCACTTCTGGATTTCACTGGCCGGCGTCAGCTACACTCCGAATTAGCTGTGTAACTGACGTGACTGTGAAAATATCCTCAGGCCCCCCAGAACCACTGGAGCATCCAGACCCCACGCGGCCAGACCCCACGCGCTGGGCCCCTGCAGGGCCGTCTGCTCGGACTCCGCGGAGCACTCACCGTCGAGGCGAGCATGGAGCCGCCGAACCACACGGCGTAGCGCTGCATGTGGTGCGTGATCACCTGGACCTCCACGGGCTTGGGCTGCGAAGGAAGGCGCGGCTGCTCACCAGAGTGGCCAGGGCCCCCAGCGCTGTCCGCAGAAGTGGGGGGCGCCGCCCCAGGCCCGGGGTCCCCCCTTTAGGTGGCACAGCCCCCCCGTTCATGTCCTCCTGTGGCGGCACCTGCCACATGCTGACCCTGACAGGAAGGTTCCAGGCCGTGCTGCTGCCGCCAAATCCCCCCACCCAGCCCCAGCCGCTGCCCCGGCCCCCAGACCTCAACCCCGACCCCAACCCCCAGACCCCAACCCCAGACCCCAACCCCAGCCCCAAGACCCAGATCCCCAATCCCCTGCACCAGCCCCTCCCCCAACCCCAAGCCGGGAGCCCGGATCTTCCACAACAAAAGGCATTAAAAAAAAAAATCAAGCCAGTAAGCCAATCAATTTTTTTTACTAAACAAAGACTTTCAGCATCGCAGGAATAATTCCAAATAACACTTAGGTGTCCCCCCAAAGGCGGGGATGGACGGGTCAGCGGGGGAGGAAGGACCCGCCCGCCAGACCCCGGCCCTGCGCTGGGGGGGCGCTCCAAGGCGCGCGGGTCCCCCACGCGCGAACGGTCCCCTGGGCCCCGCGCCCCTCCCGGCTCGCGCAGAGCAGGGAGCCCCCCGCGCCCGCGCCCACCTTGATGCGGCCGCCGCTGAGCTCCTCGCTGAGCCGGAGCCTGGCGTCCACCACCCGCTTCAGATCCCTCTGGAGGCGCCGGCCGAAGTCCCGGAACATCGTGGAGCCCCCGGACAGGACGACGTTCTGGGCGACACGGCAGCGGCTCGCGGGGCGCCCCCGACCCCCCGCGCGCCCCGCCCCCGCGCGGCCCCCACCACCCCCCCCCCCCGCCCCACCCCAGCCCCCCCACCCCAGCCCCCCACCCCCCCCCCCCCGCGCGCCGCGCCCCCCGGCGCAGGAAGCGGGCGTCTTAGTGCAGGTGCAGCTAGTGCGCCCCAAAGAGCCGAGGTGTTTGCTGCGGAGCCGCAGACCCCCCCGCCCGGGCCGTCCCTCGACCACGACCAAGAGCGCGGGAAGTGGGGTCCTCCGCGCCCCCAGGGCCCCAAGCCCGGCGCGGCGAGAGCGCGGCGGCCCGACGGGCGCTCCCGGACCTCGAGCCTCGGGCAGAGGCGGGTCCGTGTCCACAGCGGCCCAGGCGCCCCGCGGAGCCGCCCGCAGGCAGAGCCGGGGTCGTGGGGCGCAGGGGCCGGTGGGGGCCGCCCCCAGGGCCCCCGGGCCGGGCCGCGTCACCCGCCCTCACGCGCCGCATGTCCGCTCTGCGCGCGCCGGTGCGCACACATGTGCACACACGCGCGCGCTCATGCGCGCACATGCGCACACATGCACACGCGCACTCGCGCGCGCACACACACACACACACACACACACGCGCGCGCGCACACGCGCGCACCTTTTCAGACTCCGCGAGGGACCTTCGGGCCCGGGCAGCTCCCGCCGCCCCGCGCGGCCGGCTGCTCCCCACGTGCCCACGCAGAGCTGCTGGCTGAGCCGCTACTCCTTCTCCGACTTTGACACTTGGTCGATTAATATTCTTTTTTATTATCCCCGTTATTAATCCAGCATTTTCTCTCCAGCCCAGGATCCAGCACAGGGGCAGTGACTACAACTGCCGGTCATTCCTCCGTAATGGAATTTTTAATTAAAAAATAATTCACCAGAGAATGAAAATAAATGTTCATTACAATACTTCAGAAGATTTGCAACATCTTGAGTGGCCTTCAAAGGCCTGATGTATGAGGCTCCTTCTTCCACGCCCTGACGCGGCCTGAGAACCCGCCGCGTGGGGCCTCATGATTGCAGACAGGCCTGTCAAGCTGCCTCAGGCGGAAGGAGGAGGCTTTTCAACAAGTGACGCCTCCCACTGCCCTCCTCGCTCTCCCGCTGGCCAGCCGCAGCCTGCCCACCCCAGAAACAACAGCCGGCCACTCTGGGTACCCCCACAGCAGGCACCTAAACTTCGGGGGTAAGTGTGCAGCGGGGCAGAAAGGGTGGAGTTCTGGAAACTCTCCGCCCACCGCCAGCGTCACCAGCTTCTCTGTCCCGGGTCAGGCTTCCATCAGGCTCCGTCTGAGTAACAGGCCACTCTGAAAGGGCCGGAAGGACGAGCTTAAAATACACGGACTCCCTCTCAAACACTAGGACATTTGCACTTTTCCAAAAGTAAGAGTAAAAAATCGCACCTGTAAGGCACGTACCTCTCCACTGGCTTCTGATTTCAGAGTTAACAGACACTTGTGCCGCCCTGGGGAGCAGGGGATAAGTCTCAGCACTGAGGAGCTGTCCGCTGCCTCTGTAGCACAAGCTCAATCCCCGGCCAGGGAGCTCCCCACACGGCGCAGCAGACCTCTCCTGTCTCCCCGCTGCTCCCCTCAGCAGTGGGTTTCAGTGGATCTGCCTGTTCTGCTCCCCACTCTGTCTCTGGGGAGTCCTCTCACCCCTCACATTTCTGGCCTGCACCCCACCTCCTGTATGCATAAATAAATAAATCTTTAAAAAAAAAGACACCTCCGTGCCTTTTTTCTGAAGTGGTGTGTCACAGAACACCTAGCCCTGGTCGGCAGCGAATGCACCAGCTCCTGCTGGGCAGCACAGCGAGGGTCCCCGCCCACGCCATCACCAGAGAGGCGCAGACATGCGGCCACCCTCCTGCCGGGGCTGTTCCACCACCTCCCCAGGGCCTTGTTAGACTGTGGGGCCCGGCCCTGCCGTCCCACTCTCCAGTCAGGGGTGCGGGGACCCTCACCCGGGCCCTTCGTCCAGCCACCATCATTCTCCCCCCTCCTCTCTGCAGGCTCAGGGCCAAGGCCACCTTCTCGGAGGCCTCCTCCTGCCCCACAGCTGGACACAAGCTACCCTCCCCGTCGCCGTCAAGGGCAGGTGCCTCGGGAATGTCGTGTCGCTTCAGCCGGCCCCTCCGGCCCTCTCGCTCCGACTTCAGGCTGTTCACGGCGCAGTCTCTCACAACACACAGGCCTCTCATTTAGCAATGACAGTGGCCTGTGTTTAGACGGCACCCAGCTATCCCACACAGAATCGGGGAAAAGGCGCCCAGCTGCTTACAAAGCCCCTGCCACGCCGGCCCAGCCCCAGCACCACAGCGGGGACCCCACTGAGCCACAGCCAGGGTGCCCTGGGAAGTCTCTAGCATCTGGACGCTCAGCCCAGTCATGGGGATCCCTGGAGCTGAAACTGTTGCTCCAGCAGCACATCTCCGTAGACGACGTGGTCTCTGGGGGAGTCCAGGCCTTCTGGGGTGGCCTCACACTCTTGGTAGGGGTCAGGCGCACTTCCGGAGACACACCTGGAGGCGCCTCACTGTCTGGAACCCACCGGCTCCTGCGGGGCATGGGCAGAGGCACGGGCAGGGCCCTTTTCCTCTGTGTCTCCCCAGGGGAGGCCCATGCCCACTGTCCTGCTCTGCTGAGAACTTCCCAAGCCCCTGGCAAGGATGGGGCCATCAGCAAGAGAAACCCAGCAGGCAGGAAACACCTGCCACAGGGAAGGGAAGGACTGAGCAGGGGGAGTGCAGAGGAGGGGCAGCTGGGCTGGAGAGAAGGGGGCTGAGCCGCGGGCCGAGCCGCAGGCCAGGCCGAGCCTATGGCCGCCCACCGCGCTTGTGCGCACTGTATGAGCAAGGTGGGAGGTTCTCTCCACCACGCCTCTCCCACACTTGGGAGGAGGAGGAGGGGACGGGAGCAGAACCAGGACCCCCCACAAGGCTGTGCACAGCTGGGGATGGGGCGACAGGCCCAGAAACCCAGTAGCAGAGACTGGCCCCACTGCCTCGGACCGGCCCTCGGAGGGCAGGCCTGTGACAAAGCAGCGCTGGAGCCTCCTGGGGCTCAGCCTCGCCTCACACAGCCCGAAGGCGTGGATTTGGAGAGGGGAGGGGCTTTCTGAAGGAAGCTTCTAGATGGCAGCCCCTCCGGGTCAGGTGCCTGGCCTGCGGCAGCTCTGGCACAACTGAGTAAACACAAGCGGATCGTGTGGCCGTGAACCAAAAATATCTCCCCTCTGGCTCTTTGCAGAAAAGCTGGCCGAGCCCTGATCCACAATCACGGTGGGCAGGACGACGACAGCATCTCCGGCGGGTTAGCGGACAGGAAACAGGCCTGCACCCCACTCCCAGGCCGGGCTTCGAGAACAAGCCCCTCCGCAGCGGCCAAGGCAGAGGAAGGTCGGCTCTGGAGCCTGGGCCCGGCAGTCAGGGCACCAGTCGGGGCCCAGGAGAGTGGAGGCGCGCTGCGGAGGGACCGGCAAGACAGACGCCCGAGGGCCCAGATGTGGCCCTGAGCACACCAAGCACTCTGCGCCATTGGCACAGAGGCCTCAGAGCGAGCTCCAGTGCACGCTGCTGTCTGAGGACGGTGCCCAGGCAGTCTCGGTGGGGTCCCTACTCTCCCCATGGGGCGTAGCATTTGCTGCTGACAAAGGAGAAACACGAGGTCCGCTCCCGCACAAAGTAACAGTCCAAGCCCCGTGTGCCACGTCTCACAGCCCCCGAGTTGTGCCGCCTTCCCCACTGGGGAGTGGGGGGGCCGGGGTCGTCATCCAGCTAGCATGGACGGGTCGCCAAGGTCACGGCTATGTCAAGAACCCGGGAAACCTGCTGCCAGTGACCTGAACTGCCCGCGGGAGCGCCCACACGTGTCGGGCCCCCGGGGTGAAGCGAAGACAGTGCCCGGGCCGTGCTCCCCCCGCCCAGGACGCACCGTCGCTGCCCGCGGCTGGACGGAGAAGGCGGGCTCTCCCCCGCACGCCGCAGCAGACGGGCTCCACCGCGGGGCCCAGGTGAAAACAGAACGGTAATTTGTCTTCACCAGTAACAACTGCCTACAAAGGAAGATTTTTTCCAGTAGTAAAAACACTCCTTGAGGTCGCCGGGGAGGGCTGAGCCCTGCCGGGAGCACCAGTTCCCTCGGGGTGGAGGACAGAGGGCGGCTGGCTGACCGCCAGGGCCTGCTCGCAGGCTGGCTGCACCCTTTACACCATCAGTGAGTGGAAGCGCTTTTTCTCACTCCAAGTTTCAAAATTCCCTGCAATCAAAGAATTCTGAAAATACAACCACACACTCCCATTCCACGGTTTCCTGTCGGCTCTGACTGCTATTGGGCTGGCCGCCCCTGGCCCCGAGCACAAACGTGCCTGAGGGGAGGCCCCCGGAGCCAGGGGCGGCCATGTTCCCCTCAGCAACAGGCACAGCTGAGCGTCGCAAGAACACGGGACCCCACAGCCTCACACCAGCACTTCCGGCCGGCCCAGCCCGCCCCACCGCCTCCCCACGTGGTGGACAGTGCGAATCCTCCAAGCAGGGCGCCGGGCCTGCCTCGGGGAGGACGGGACCGGACAGCCATACCTTGTACAGCGGGCGCCGCACGTCGATGGGGCAGTTCTGGATGACTTCATCGACGACGTCGGAGATGGACTCCATGAAATCTGGGTTGGCAAACTGAATTTCACGAAGACATATCAGACGTTACGGCACAACACTTTTCAAAAGCCACTTTAACAAATACTGGGCTTGCAATGCCTCTAAAAGCATGAGCTGCCTGTTGTGCTCCCCACTCGGTCTCTGATGAATCCTCACCCCGCACCTCTGGCCTGCACCCCAGCTCTTGTATGCATAAATAAATAAATCTTTTTTAAAAAGGTGAGCTGACTCCCGGGGAAGACATGAGCCTGAGAGGACGGCCTGTGTCCCCAGAGGTGAAACGTGCCGGCTCAGGAGGGACAGTCGTCGGCTGGTCACAAACACAGACCAGCCCCGAGACCAGACGCAGAGAGCACACGGGGCAAGAGACCCGCAGGGGCGGGAGCCACACACGAGTCGCTGGAGACCATGTGAGCAATGAGGCCAGAACAGAAGGGAGAGGAAAGGCCAGCGAGGCCCACTCGGGACACAGCCGAGGGTCAGCTGAAAACCAGGGGAGCCCTGATGCGCCCTGGGATGGGGGGTGACCAGGGGAGTCTCCAGCGGGCTGGGGTGGTGAGTGTCTGCCCAGCGGCTGCACCTGCTCAAGCCAGCAGCTCGGGCACGAGTGCCCGGCTCCTGGGCCACCTTCTGGGCGTGTCCTGGCGTAGACCCGCCCGCACAGGCTGAGACAGGCTGTGCTGAGGGCCTACCTACTCGCTATAAACTGAAATAGCAGGAGAATAGACCAAAATACCAAATAAAATTTATCTTATTTAAAATGCTGCGTCTGGCAGAAGCACAAGTCACTCTTGGGGCGCCACCACACCCAAGCCCGCGTGAGGGGCGGCTCCACCAAGGCGCTGGGACGGGGACGGGGCAGGGCTGGCTGGTCGCCAGGCCTGGGCAGGGGCCACGGCGCTCCGCTTCTGGGAGGAGCCACCTGCATGACCCCTGGCATCAGGAGGCTCCCCTGCTAGCGCAGGACCCTTTTCAGCCCCCAGTCCTCCTGACTCAGCCTCTCTGCCCTGACCCCGGGGCCCCTGGGGATCCCCAGGTGCCTGGGCTGACATGAGGCGGGGAGGCCGAGCCAAACCCGCAAGCAGGCAGGCAGCGGTGAGTGGGCAGGGCTCGGGGTGCACCTGCGGGAGGGTTCGGCGCACCCCCAGACCCGCCCTGCCTGCACACGAGGTGGCAGCGCCACACCGCAGCACCCCCGAGGCTGGACAGCAGCCCTTCACCTCTGGGTGAAAGAAGATCTCGGGCCCCAGGAAGCGCTCGTAGCCAACATCCACGGCGAAGCGCCTCTGGTTGACAGCGTTGATGCCCATGTACTGCCTGATCCACCTGCGGGGGTCCGCGTCGTACTTGGCAAACTCCCTGACGATGTCCGGGCAAATGTAGCAGTACTTCTCCTGCGAGCACACACAGAGGCGCGGCCCGCGTCAGCAGAGGCCGGGCCTGCCCTCCGACCCGCGCCCGCCGCCAAGCAGCCACACCCACCCATGACCCTCTCAGCCCAGGTGCACCGCGTGGCGTGGGGGAGGCTGCTCTGCGGCTCCGCCCTCGATCTGGCCTCACCCTATCACCTTCATGCCACCTTATCTGAATGATGTCACCAGGAGGCCTGTCTCCATCTCCTCCGCCCCTGTTCCCCCAAGGCCCTCCCTGGCGCCCTCTGCCCCACAGCAGACCTGGCTGCAGGCACAGCCGAGGCAGCCAGTGCCATCTGGGCACCAGCATGGGCGAAGCGAGGCATGGCCACTGCAAGGGTTGGGCATCCTCCTGGGCACAGTCATCTGCCCCTGGGAGGGGGTGGAGTGATGAGTGTGAGCAGAGGACATGCCCACACCCTGCCCGCTGGAACACATGCTCCAGCTGAGCTCCATGTGACCAGCAAGGGCTAGAGAAAGGCGTGGCCTGAGAGGGAGGGCAGGCCCCTAGGGAGGGGAAGCGCTGGGAGGGGGCTAGAGGTGCCATGGTGCCCTGGCTTTCTCCCTGGCACCGCCACCTGTCAGCTCCACCTCCCCAAGGCACCGGGGTCCAGCTCGGAAAGTGAGCTTTGGGGGCGAAGAGGGGGCAGAAGCGTGAGATGCTCCAGGACCTTATATTTAAAGTTTCTGAGAATCCCTGAGCCCCAAGGGCCTCCAGTAGAATCAGACCTGCTCCCTGGCCCTCGGCCTGATGTGGGGGCCGAGGTCCATAGGACTCTCATCCCCAGGCAAATGGCCAGGTGTCCACGGAGACTCAAGGCACCTCAGGCAGCCCCAAACCAGAGGATGAGCTGCCCCAGGAAGGCGGGGGGCGGGGTGCAGCCTCCTCTGCCGCTTTGGACTCAGGCTGCAGGGGCCAAGTGGCCAGGGCCAGGAGACAAGGACCCAGGGGACCCAGAACAACCTTCCAGACGCCTACTGTATGGAAGGGGGGGCACCCCAGGGCTCAGCCCCCAGGTGAGCACAGCTAATCCAGAGGACCCAAGGGGCATCCTGACTCCTGACCCCCGCGCTATGCTGTCACACCTGAATCTAACTTGAGGGTCAGCCCCGGAGCTCAGCGAGCCCAAGCGTGTGGGCCACACGAGGGCTGGCTGGGAGCTGGGAGCTGAGGGCCACCAGCCAGATCTCCCCGAGGAGGGACACTCACTCCCCAGAGGGAGCCCCCAGCCACAAGAGGGTGCCTCCTGACTCACATCCTGACAGACCTGGGGTGCCCAGAGCCTGGGTCAGATTCCAAACTTCCCCCATTGAAGGGGGGGGGCTGAGCAGCACAAGTGTCTGCGGACCTGCCTGGGGAAGCGCCTCCTCCGCTTGGGGCTGCCAACCCTTCCCGGGGCTGCCAGCCCTTCCCCGGGCTGCATCCCGCCCCAAACTAAGCCCTTGCAGGCAGTGTCAGCCTCAGCGACAGGTGCTGAAGTGGGAGGAAGACAGGGGGTGTCAGACCCGCCTCCCCCAAAGTCTTCTCAAAAGCTGCCAGTTCACGTCACACCCCACGCTTAAATTCTTATCTCAAGAAAAACCAAACCGTCCCCTCTTCACCTATACAATTATCCTGGCGTTCCTAGGACTCGCTTACATTTCAAGCAAAAAAATAAATTGTCCTGACTTTACAACACGAAAAGGAAAAATTCTTTAAAGAGGGTCTGTCAACAGCTATGGACAGGACAACCGGAGGGCCAGGCCCAGCGGCCCTCAGTCAGGCCCAGAGGCCATTCTCCTATTGTTATCAAGTTTTAAAGTTTCTGGTAACGTTTCCAGCTTGGTGAGTAGAATCTAGAAAATTCGGGGGTGGGGGGTCATGACTCTGGGTCTTGAGTCATGGGGGGATGTCACGACTCGGGGGCCTGGGCTAGCTCAGAACTGCCCTCCTCAGGGCACAGGGCCCGCATGGCAGGCACAGGGGACCTCCGGGAGGCTGGCCCGCTTCTCGGGAGACCCAACAGTCACTGCTGCTGGGACACATTTGGGTCAAGGGCGCTCAAGCTGCTTAAGCGCCAGGAGAGGACGCAGGGCCCAGGCTGGTGTGCCCGAGGGAGGGCTGTGGGCCCAGAGCAGAAGCCAAGACTGTGAGCCCCTCCCTCCAGGTAAACAGGCGGGGCCCCACACTGGGAGGGAGGAGAGGGGAGCGGAGGGGAGAGGAGAGGAGAGGACGGGAGAGGGGAGACAGGGGCAGGGAGGGGAAGTGTCCAGACAGCATTTCTCGCTCACCCCCAAACCGGCCCATTTCCCGACTGTTTTTACCTTGATGGCTTTTGCGGTCTCCAGTGACTGCTCAGGAGGGATTCCCACCTCCCTCTCCCTTAGCAGCTGTTGAATGAAATACGTAATATCTCTACCTGCAATCGGGATGTGTTTGATGCAGCTTCCAATTACATAGCCTTCGGCCTAGGGGAGAGGAGCAGAGCAAGCCCGTGAGCCCTCACGCGCAGCGCCCCCAGCCAGCATTCACAGGAGCCCCTGGTCATCTGGGAGGGGGCTCTACAAAGGGCCCCCTCCCCCGGGAGCCCCCGCAGAGCAGACAAGGAAACCATGCGGGCCTTCACTTCCGAAACAGGAAGGCTGCCTGTTACAGCGGGGACCCCAAATGTTTTCTGGCTGCTCTAAGCAAAAGGAAAAAGTGTGACCTACACATTGCTAAGGCGACTATAAATCTACTTCTATTTAAAAGTCAACAGTCGGGGGCCTGCCTGGGGGTGCAGGGGTTAAGTCAGCACTGTGAAGCTGTCCGCAGCCCCTGCCCCGCGAGTTCCATCCCGGCCAGCGAGCTACCCACATGACACAGCAGACCTCTCCCGTCTCCCTGCTGCTCCCCGCAGCAGTGGATTTCAGTGGATCCTCCTGTTCTGCTCCCCACTCTGTCTCTGGTGAATCCTCTCACCCCTGCCCCTCTGGCCTGTACCCCAGTTCTTGTATGCATAATATAAATTAAAAAAAGAAATCTTAAAAAAGAATAAAAAACAGGGGTTCCAAGTCGGCCTGAAATGTGTGCGTGTGGGGTCGCGCACAGGCCGCGCACGCATGACGTGGCTCTCTGAGCGGTTCGCGGGCAGTTTTCTGCTTCACCTTTTTCTACTTTACCCAAATTTTATACAACAAATGAAATTTTTATAATCAGGAAAAAAACTGAACTAAGGTACAGATAAAAATGTAATGAGCACTCCCTGGGCGTGGCTGCCTGTGCGCTCACTCCTCCCCGAAGCAGATGCCCGGGCCCAAGCCCTCTCCCTGGCTCACAGGCCTGACACCTCGCTCGGAGGGTGCTGCCCTGGAGACAGAAACAGCCGGACGCCAGAACCTTCCCCCAACACTGCCCAGGGACCCAGGTGGCCGCGGGCGCCGGCCTTGCCCAGGCCCAGCAGGGCGGCCCAGGCCGGGGACCCTGGCTCTGGTCACCTGAGGCTCAGCAGGTGCTGGCCTCGCCCTTGAAGGACTGAAAGCATCTGTATCAGCAGGCCGCTGCTTCAGCTTCCTGCCGACGACTTTTTCAGTTAAAGTAAACGAACTGTTTTCCAACAACCCTGGTTTGCATTTTTAATGGGAGCCACACGCAGCAGCGCTGCAGGCGCGGGACGCAGGAGCCCAGAGCTCGGAGGCCTCCCCGCGCCCTCCCCGGGACACCTTCAGCTGATTTTCAGAAGAGACCTTAAGCGGGTCACCGAGCACTCCTTTGGGCCCCACGGAAAACACACGTGTCTCTTAAAGCCCAAATTAGGAATCACATCTCTAACATTTTGAAGACAAAATCCAGAAAGTGACATCACAGAGTCTCCTGTGAGTTAGAATGTGCAATAATCTCTTTCTTGGTAAGCAAATTTTAAAAACAAGCTTCAGTTTGGGCCTCCCCGGTGGCGCAGCGGTTGAGCGCTGGGTTGCGAAGCTGCCCGCGGCCTCTGCAGCACCGGTTCGATCCCCGGTTGCTCCCCGGCCACCGGAGGAGGGTCCCACATGGCGCGCAGACCTCTCCTGCCGCCCGCTGCTCCCCTCAGCAGTGTACTTCGGTCCTTCTGCCTGCTCTGCTCCCCGCTCTGGCTCTGGTGAATTCTCCCACCCTCCCGCGCTTCTGACTGTACCCAGTGCATGTATAAACAAAACAAACAAACAAATAAATAAATAAAAGCCATGCCTCTATTAAAAAAAAAAAAAAAAAAAAAAAAAACAAGCTTCAGTTTGAGCTGCATGAAGCATGAGCTGGATGAAGCCACACTTATCTCCCCATGAGGCCACTTTGGGGGCCCCGCAGCCCCCACAGCCAACGTCCAGCAGCTCTGCACAGAAGCAGGACCCTCCGGTGATGCTGGGTGGGGGGGTGTCTAGTGGCCACCCCGTCCTCACACATCTGGGTCTAAAAAGCTCTCGCTACCTTTTCTAAGCCTGGCTGTGCCTTAAGGGCGGCATCTTAACCGTGACGGCGCCTGCATGGCTTCCCTTACCTCAATTCAGGTGTGAGCCCCCAGCGCAAGGGTGAGCACCGCTTACCACTGGGATGGCGTGGGTCACCCCATCCCCGCTGTCAATGACAATCCCCGTCAACGTACGTTCGCCGACTTGCCGGGACGTCCAGGACGCAGCCAAGGCCAGCACTGCCTGGACAGGAGCAGAGGCCGTGAGCACAGGAGGCGGCTCCCCAGATGCCGCAGCCCGGGCCGGCGATTCTCACTTAGGTCTCTCCTCCCACCTTCTCCCCAAACACCAGCTCCCAGCTGGATGAACGTGCAAACTGAGGATCCTTCAAGTGGAAAAAGCAATTCTACTGTCGGTCAAAGAACCTGCCTGCACTTCTGACCCGGGTGGGGGCGAGGGTTGCAGGCACCCTGCAGGAAGCTCCGTGGGGGTTTCTAAAGGTGGGACTGGGCCTCCCTGCAGGTCTAGGGCGGGTGTCTCCCAGGCCACTCTGTCACTTCTGGGCGTGGGGGGCTGTGGGGCGCTCGTAACTCTAGGGGGTGGGGGCAGAGGGACTGCGACAAGGCGGCCCCCCACAAGAACCACAGGGTCCACAGCCCCGGCCTGAGATGCAGCCTTAGAAGCTACACTTTTACCCACCACCCTCCAGGCCCTGGGAAGGCACAGGCTGTGCTAAGGGGATTTCCTGACCACAAATCCCCCAGGGGAGGGGAGACTGTGGAAGGGCTGGAACAAACCGGTCCTCTGCTGCGGGGGCTCTCAGAGGCTCCCGCTCCCAGCCTGGCCAGGCTGCAGCCCCTGCCACCCCAGGGTTCCTTTCCTGCACACCTCCTCCGTCCTCGCAGTGGTGCGGGACCAGTGTGCAGCGAACACTTGGAGAAACACTAGCTCATCCATCCCTGAAGAGTTCAGTCCATTCCCTGCCACAGGGCGGAGGCGCGGTGGGCACCAAACCCCACAAAGCCCCACCCCTAGAACACGTGGCGGCAAAGGAGGCTCTGCCAGTCTCAGGGCTGGGGCATCTTGGGGCCGGGGCCTCTCGGAAGCAACAGATCCGGGGACCCAGGGCAGCAGGTGCAGGAGCGGGTGCGAGCTGCTGCTGCTGTTTGTTTCTCAGCAAATTCTCTAGCTCCTTTTTCTGATCAGAAATGAAATTTTAAAAAAACAAGAACCATGCCCACACCTTGATCTTGTCACCAGGAGGAGATGCATTGGCTTCTGGTGATGCAGAGATGGCAGACGCTCTGCCGAGGGCACACGTATAGAAACAGAATCACAAGACACGCCCTCTACAGTATGAGGTGGAACCTGAAGGGGGGGGTGTGTGTGCACACGTGTGCACGTGTGTGCGCGCATGTCCTTGTGTGCACGCATCTGTGTGCATGGACATGTGTGTGCTGTGCTCATGTCCCACGTGTGTGTCCATGTGCGTGTGCGTGCACGCACATGTGCTGAGGCAGAGGAAGAACACGCAGCACGGTCTTACTGCAGAGAACCTTTAGACTCACCCCGGAAGCCAGAGTCCTTGGGGACTCATAAAAATAACTGTTTTTACCTGCACTGCTATGTAGAGTCCCGGTACATTAAATGATTCGAACATGATTTCTGCCAGATATTCTCTATTTTCTGGGGTATTCAGTGGAGGTTCTGTCTGTAAGAAAACATTCACTAGATTTAGTGTTTACCCAAATTTCATGTAATTGCACCAGAAATAAGGGTCGCCAACCCATAGGCCAGGGCCTGTACACCCCCCACACCCACCCCCCTATTCCCCCGCTGGGCCGAGGAGCTGGCCCGAGAGAGCCTCCGGAGATCCCTGCGAGACAGCTGGTGCTGGCGCTGGTCTCCCACACGCTAAGATGGCCGCGTGAGGCCCTCTCTAGACACACCTGCTCCCCTTAGCCACCCCGAAACGAGAACAAGTTAGAGAAAGGAGAGCTAGCTCTGAGGGCTAACACCCACACACACCCTGAAACCAGAGCCCTGAAGCAAGTAGCCGGGGCGCAAGGCCTCAGCCGGAGGACAGAGCCGGGGACTACCTCTCAGTACACAGCCGCTGCCCCAGAGGAGCCGTGGCCCTGGCCGGGAACAGCTGAGTGGGAGCAGGGCGGCTGCAGGAGCCCCCAAGGCCCACCTGCCATGAGAGCAGAGGCCAGCTTGGCCATCAGCCAAGAAATCCCGTGCAGCAGATTCACACAAGAGCTGCCCTGGCGAGCCCACCCCCCAAACTCCTGCCAACAGCTAGACAAAGAGCTCCCCTCGCACACAGGAGAGCATGAGGAAGCCGCCAGAGACCACCTCAACGCCAGAGAGGGGGAGAGAAACAGGAAAACAGCGGACAGAAACACACACCATCAAAGTATAAAAACACTAGATGAAAGACACTTCCAGAAGCTCAAATACCTCTGCTAGAATAACCACCATCAAACAGGAGGAAAGGACAGGATCAGAGAAATCCACCTGCTTCTCTCATTCACCAATAGGTTGGGAACACTTTTGCATGTCAACAAATATGGATGTACATCACATACTTACGGCTGGGAAAAAAGAATAAAAATTATCTGGGTTTTTGGCTAAAAGTAGATAGATAGATAGATAGATAGATAGATAGATAGATAGATAGATAGATAGACAGACAGACAGATAGATGCTAGAGCAAGAGATGAAAGACAGATCAGTCCACATTACCCTGTTATAGATTGAGCTTGTCCCCAAAATTCATATGTTGAAGCCCCAAGCCCCAAAGTGACTGTATCTGGAGGAGGAAACGTGTCTCGGTGCTGCGCACACTCTGAAACGTCTTTATTGACAATCTGTAATGGAAACTTCCTTTACAAAAACAAGGCGTGGTGGGGGAGCTGGGAGTTGTCCGTCAACGGCAGAGTTTGAGTTTGGGAAGAGGCTGTTCAAGTTCTGGAGACAGAGGGTGCTGAAGACTCAGATCATGTGTCTGGGCCCAATAATCAATTTTCTTTTAAATAAAATAATGCCCTTAAATTTAAAAATGTTCTAGGGCCTTCCCGGTGGTGCAGCAGTTGAGCGCAGGGCTGCAAAGCTGCCCACAGCCTCTGCCCACAGCCTTCCCTCCACCATGAAAGACGACCACCGGCAGCCGCACTCTTCAGAACAGGCAGGAGGGTCAGCTCCACACCATGGCTTTGAGCGCAGGCCTTTAAATAAGAACCCTGCGGCCGCAGAGTGACTAACTGCAGGGTGAGTGAGCCACTCTGGCTCTCCATGCCACCGGCCTCTGTGGCCATCACCCGCGGCCTTGACGGTGTTGATGCAGAGGGTGCTGGGGGCGTGGGCACGGGCAAGGCACGCGAGCCAGATTGTGGACCTCTAAGCCCCAGAGTGCGCATGCGTGAGTGTGCACACCTGGGCCTGGAGGGGGGCTAAAAGCAGCGGCAGCGGTGAGAGGACGAGCAGCATGAATTCAGAAGGGGTGAGACCATGCGAGCACACCAGGGAGCGCCCAGAGAAAGAGTGTAAAGACCCCTGGGGGCTAGGGGCTCAGTTGCACTCCCTGCCTGGTGTGCCTGTGTACTTGGTTCCCTGAAAAACCCACTGAGAGCTCCAGGACTCTCTTGACCCGTCTGCCCAAAACCATAGTGAGCCTGCCCTGTGGCCTGCTGGCACGGCGACAGGTACATTTTGTAGCTGTTTGTATGAAACAAGTTTATGTATGATCCGTGTGGCTGCACACGACCATCTCTGGAAGACACGACTGGTGAGGAACTGGCGAAGGTGGCTTCCCTCAGGCAGGGGCTGAGGAGGGCAGCTAGGGGTAGGAGGGGGGCAGCTGGCCCAGGAGTCTGTACCCACTGTGCTCTGCTCTTCGAGCCTCATCGACAGACACACCTGGCCTCAACTAAAACGTTACAATATGGTTGAACCTTGAAGACTTCTGTTAATTGAAGTCAGTCACTAAAGGACAAATTCAGTTTGATTCCACTTATATGAGGTACTGGAGTCACACTGACAGAAACGGAATGTAGATCGTGAGTGTCGAGGGCTGGGAGCAGAAGAAATAGGGAGCAAATGTTGAAAAGGGACAGGATTTCGGTTTGGGAGGATGAACAAGTTCTGGAGACAGAGGGTGCTAAGACTCAGATCATGTGTCTGGGCCCCATAATCAATTTTCTTTTAAATAAAATAATGCCCTTAAATTTAAAAATGTTCTAGGACCTCCCCGCTGGTGCAGCGGTTGAGTGTAGGGCTGCAAAGCTGCCCACAGCCTCTGTAGCACAGGTTTGATCCCTGGCCCCAGCGAGGGTCCCACATGGCACGCAGACCTCTTCTGCCACCTGCTGCTCCCCTCAGCAGTGTACTTCGGTCCTTCTGCCTGCTCTGTTCCCCGCTCTGGCTCTGGTGAATCCTCTCACCCTCCCGTGCTTCTGACTGTACCCAGTGCTTGTATAAAGAAATAAATTTTTTTTAAATAAAAAAAATAAATAAAAATGTTCTAAATGTAGGAAAATGATGTACAAGGATTATAATCTTTCTTATACAAACAAGAAATTGGGAACAAAAGTAAATGCTAAAAGCTGTGGAAGTGCTGAACCATTAGGAAGGACCCCCCAGGTAAGTCACGGCACAGCCATTAAGTGAGGGTCAGGAAAACCCTGTGAGAAAATGGTCGTGGAGGATCCGATCTTGGTAAAATCGGGGCTCGCTCCTGTGGCAGTGCACCGGGCCAGCGGCAGCTAGATGACAGGGCTGCGGGGGTGGGACCGGGCTGCGGGAGTCAGACCCAACCTCCAGCTCGCACTTGCAGCTTTGCTCTAACAAGGGAAGGGATGCCTCACGGCACCGGGGAGCCCTGGCTGGGGCTGTGAGCAGCCCAGAGATGCCTGGCTGCTCTTCCTGCTTATTCGCCCCCGACAAGACGCTGGGCACAGCCAGATGGCCACGATGCAGGGCAAAGCGGCTCCTCTGGGCATGGCTCGTCCGGACCCGAGGTTCCCTGTCAGGGATGACACGGTCCCCAGGGCCGACTGCAGGCGCCACTGCCAAACAGCTGGATCCCAGTCACACCGCCGTCTGGTGGCCATGTCCTGTGGCCCTGCGAGCCTCCCTCTGGCGCCCACTCTCTTCCGACAGACCCCGGGCAATCTCGGAGGTGGACAGGGTTGCACGTGGACAGGGATGTCTGGGCGCAGCCTGGCCAGTCGGAAGCAAAAGCCGACGAGGGTGGCTTTGGGGAAGGTGGCTCACAAAACTGAAGCAGACTGAGCAGGAGGCTCCCGCCGCCCCGGCCCCTTGTTTCCCGGGACGCAGAGCTGGTGACTGGAGCCACAGGGGCCGGCACGCGCGCAGAGCAGCCTCGGCATGGAACCAGGCCGAGACCGAGCACAGAGCCCTGCTCAGGCCGGGCCCGCAGGCACGCGTCTCCACCACAACTTTACCGGGAGAAGATGAAATCTCTAGCTTCTTCACTGCTGATTTTTATACTTTTATTACTTGCTGCCAAACAACTCGTCATCTGTGAAGAATTTACATTAAAATCTATGTCCTTCCATTTAAGGAAACATTTGCAATAGAACTAGTTTCTCCTGGTTCCTGAACCAGATTCAGCACCAGTAAGGCTGCGTCCTCATGGGCTCCAGGAACCACGACCGTAATAAGCCCATTTCTCCTATACTTACGTCCAGTCCTTGTTCCTTTCGGAGACCAATGGAAATGACCTGCTCAAAACATTATTTGTAAGATCTAAATTGGAGGTATTGAGTCTTATTTTTAACACTGAGGCATATGGTTAAAACATTGCATGAATACAAGCTACATAAACATTTTTATTCATGACACTGGTAAACATCATCTGGTATTGATTTTTAAATGAAAATTAATCCACACCATAAAACCAATCCATATTTCTGGATAAAGATGGCAAAATGAACACAAGTGCCTAATATCGCTCCACCCGCATGCCCCTCTAACATGGCAATAAGGAAACCTTTTTGAAAACGTAGGTCCTCCAGAAAGGGAGGCCGGGAGAGGAGGTGGCGACGCAAGGAGCGGGACGCACGTGCTGCAGTGACTGACTCAGCACCGAGCGGCCGAGGAAGCTGCCTCTGCCGACTGGGGGCCGCAGCAGGTCTGAACGGGCCTCGAGGTCCAGGGACCTCACGGGAAGACACTGCAGGGCAGGTCACCCCCTGGGTCTGTCTAAGAGACTGCAGGGCAACCAGGCACAGGGTGGACGGGTTCACCGTGGGTTCAGGCAAAGGAATCCCGGCGCCCTCAGTGGGTTTTTATAGGCCTTTAACACTGAATCAGAGGACAGGCCAGCCAGGGGAGCCAGCAATCTCTGGCATCCTATCTGTGTTCTCCCTCTCGGTCTCCTGTCATCTGCCTCTCGCCTCAGTGACACGGCCCTTTCTCTCCTGAGAGATCCCTGTGTCCTTGCCGCAACCCGGGGTGGGAGCGGATAAAAAAGCCTGATTCGGGGCCTCCCTGGTGGCACAAGGGGTTAAGCACAGCACTATGAAGCAATCCGCAGCCTCTGCAGCACCAGTTCGTTCCCCGGCCAGCCAGTGAACTACCCACATGGCACAGACCTCTCCTGTCTCCCCGCTGCTCCCCTCAGCAGTGTGTTTCAGTCAGTCTGCCTGTTCTGCTCCCCACACTGTCTCTGGTGAATCCTCTTACCCCTCTTCCCACACCTCTGGCCTGTACCCCAGCTCTTGTATGCATAAATAAATAAATCTTTCTCTTTTTTTCTTTTTCTTGTTTTATTTATTTGTACAAGCACTGGGTACAGTCAGAAGCGTGGGAGGGTGACAGGATTCACCAGAGACAGAGTGGGGAGCAGAACAGGCAGATTGACTGAAATACACTGCTGAGGGGAGCAGCGGGCGGCAGGAGAGGTCTGCCTCGCCATGTGGGACCCTCGCCGGCGGCTGGGGATCGAACCAGCGCTGCAGAGGCTGCAGACAGCCTCACAGCCCAGCATTCAACCGCTGCGCCACCGGAGAGGCCCAATAAATAAATCTTTGAAAAAAAAAAAAAAAAGACTTGATTCACTTCCTTTTTCCTAGAGGGACGCCCAGTTAGCTAGGAAAACATCGTCTTGGGTGTGAGAGGGTGTCTCTGGAAGAGACTGGCATTAAGTAGCCTTACAACTCAGTGCCTACACTGAGCCAGCGAAGAAGCTGAGTAAATGTCTTCAACTGACGTCTCCAACTTGGCCATAAATCTCCGTGCCTACTTTTTTCTCTTTAACCATTTCATTAACTGGTAATTAACTGCATAAACCTGAAGGAAATTTACCACTGTCATCACTTGCTCAAGCACAGCAGGATTCAAAGCACAGTATTTGTGTATGTGTATATATAAATCATTTCTTTGCTAAATGTGATTCTTTTTTGGATATTCTGCAGTGAACTTTAGTTTTTTCACATTCACCCCCCACACCTCCAATTCCTTCCTAGCAAGTGAGGTTATTTTACTAGCTGCATAAGCTAATCAGAGAAAGAAACATCTTTTAGGGAAAATGTCCTGTGTGCCAGCACTGCACGCCGCTCTGAGGCCTGGGACAAGGCCTGGCATGGTGACTGCAGCAGACGGAAGGATGCACCTGGGCACGGTGCCTGGCCCCATGCCCCTGTCCAACAGGTAGTGATGGGATGTGAGGACGAGGAAAAAGGCCAACGCGACAGGTGGAATCTGTAACTTGCTTTGCTATAAGACAAAGACAGTCAGACACACTGTCAGTTTCAGCCCCCCCAACTCTACACAAACCACAGCAGCAGCTCAGGGAGAAAGGCCCAGAGGCAGGTCCAGCACAGCCAGGCATGGGGCAGCTCCTGGCTGTGAAGATGGAGGGGGAGGCTGGGCACTTTCAAGCACTTGCTTTCATAGGTGTTGTCTGGACATCCCACTACTACAACAGCAGCTGCAGTTAGCATAGGTTATGCCAGATAATTCTAAGCAATACTCCAATGTTAACATAAGAAGGAATTATAAAATTGGACCTGGGACCACATGACAAGGTTCTTCATGGAAAAAGATCCTCAGCCAATGTAGGTTTTAACATAACAGCTTACGTTGCATGACGCTGCTCTTGATAAAGGAAGCACATGGTGCGTGTAACTAATCTCGCCTCACAAAGGACCCTCCACAGGGGGAGAAAGCAGCAGTGGCGCCATCGGAACAGACGCCATAGTCAAGAGATGCTTCTTCTCATTTCTCCGCAGTTTGATTTTGTTGGAGCAAGATCAATTAAGTACCACAGTGAGGACCCCTAAGTCAGCTCAATTTTATTTTACAAGATCTAAGCGCTGGAAAATAACAGAAGCAAAAATTATAGTTGTCCAACTACCTCACAAGGAGATCGAAGCACGGGGTTGGTTTCCTCCCCAAATCCACTGTCCCTTCGCCTTTCTTGCTGGAAGCTTCGTCAGGTACTTACCCAGCTAGGCCAGGTGATCAGAGACGGCCCCTGCCCAGCCCCAGAGAGTGGACCTTGATTAGTCGAGACCAACAAGGCAATTCCTCTCCCCCAGCTAGTGACCAGGTCAGGCATGCACGCTGGGGTAGGGGCCAGGGTGGTGGAGGAAGCACTTCTGCCTCTGAAAGCAAATACACCGAGAGGTGATACAGGCATTCTGCCAGCCACGCTGGGGCTGCAGGGAACGCAGAGGCCACGCTGGCTCACCACTGAGCTGCTGGGCCTGCCTGACTCTGGCCTTTTGTTTTGTGAGATAATGAATGAGCCATTTTGGGGTGAGACTTTTGCCCAAAAAGCACCCCAACTCATACAATTATCTGCAGCAGGAATCAAGAACTCCCCAGAGCGAGTATCTTGAGCTTCAAACTGAAGTCACTTGGAATGTACAGGCACATATTCCGCCTAGTCCCCAGTTACTCACCATTAAAAAATAATGATCCTCAGGCTCTGCTCGAAGGTATTTGAAGATCACTTGTTCCATGAACCTCTCCATGAGGTCCCAGTCTTCGATGATCCCATGTCGAATCGGCCACTGCGGCAGGTGGAGCGACAGTGAGAGGTGTTGGGGCGCAGGCTCCCGGCCAGAGGCTCAGGAAGGGGACAGCCTCCCCGGGGGCTAAGTCTATCCTTGCATGTCCACATGCCCCAACCCACCCCATTTCTAAAAACCATCACCTTAAAGGTGGGTCTCGTGGAAGCAGCTCATCAACTGCATCACTCCAGGTGCAGCTTTTGTCCTTTCTTTAGAGGAAATGTCTAATTAAATAATCCAGTTTCTTTTTAATTAATCAGCCTGCACCTCTCACGCCTGCCAGGCTCCTCTGCCGGCCTGCGGCATTCCGCGGCAGGAGGGAGCAGGTGCAGCTGGGGGGCTGGGGCTGAGCCACTCCTGTACTCTGGAGCCTGGGGATTCACTCGGCTCCCTCATCAAAAACACTCCCACCCCAAAACAACAACAAACCCCCGTGCAGAGAACAAAACTCCCACAACCCACAGGCACAACTCCCAGCTCCCAGCACGGCCTCCTGTTCCGGCGCACCTTGGTGGCGTAGGTGGGCTTGTCAACGGCCTCATCCCCGATGAAGAAGTCCAGGTCGTCGACCCCCCGCAGCACTCGCCTCTGCGCTTGGTCCACCACCTTTGCTGACTCCCTGATGGCGATACCTGAAAGCACAGCACAGAGGCCCCGTCAGTCTCCACATTTACCTGAGGGCAGGAGAGCAACAGAGCCCGCAGCGCTCACGGGAGAGGCGTGAGGTGGGCACACCAGGACGCAGAGATGGGCACACCAGGGCGCAGAGACAGGGCACACCGGGGTGCAGAGGTGGGCACACAGGGGTGCAGAGGCGGGCACAGAGATGGGCACACTGGGCACAGAGGTGGGCACATGGGTGCAGAGACGGGCACACTGGGGAGCAGAGGCAGGCGCACCAGGGTGCAGAGGCAGGCACTGCACATTCCAGCAGCATCCCCCCGCATCGTTTCTAGCAGGCGCCAGTGGGCGCAGCTGCCACTCTCACTGCTGACAGAAGCTACTAAATGTGTTTCATCTGGAAAAACCCCTGGAGACAGGGAGACGCCCGCAGGCCATACACCGCCAGGCTCTACGTTTCAAAGCACAATGTAGGAGACAAAATCTTAAATAAAATGCAGAACAGAGTAAACTAAAAAACAACACCCTCGTGTGCTCTGAAGCGATTTTAATAAAACTCGGCCTCAGATGTCACGTGTTTCAGCCTCCGACAGAAAAACAAATCACTTCCAGGAGAAGGAGGACCGAGGAGGTGGCTGGCTAGTATCCGTCACAAAAAGAAAAGCACAATAATCCAACAACCGTTGCGTGTAAGAAACACCAGGCCTCGATGACACACTGTTTTAGTAAGAGCTCAGCCTTGGATATCTGGAAATCTACGCAGTCATAAATCATCGCATGAAACTGCGCTCGAGACCCCAACGCGCCGTGCCCGGCGGAGAGCTTGACAAAGATTCCACTTACCACTAAATGCTAACACGCTGAGCTTCCACAAACTCGTCTGCATCAAATTTGTGCCAAACAAATTAGCAAGCGCACACAGTTATTTTGAAAAGTAGATCATCCGAAAGCTCCCATTTTGAAGGGAGAGCACAGACTCCAGAAGCCTCCGGGGCCCGTGGCCAGGGCGGCAGCTCGCGGTAACCCCTGCCCACCCCTCGCCTCCTCTCTCCCCGCCGGCTCCACCCGGGAAGTTGCGAAGCTTCCAGGACGGCATTTATCGCGGGCCGGGGAGGCGGCGGCTCCATGGAGGGACCCAGGGTAGCGCCCATGGGCCGGGCCAGGCCAGGGGGCCGGAGCGCCCCACTAACTGGGCGCCGCAGAAAGAAGTAAGCCCGTCCCCGAAAACCCACCAGGCACCGACAGCCTCGCGCAGCGTCGCCCGCCCAGGCGGGACCCAAAGGCTCAGCCCGACGGCGGCAGCAGGCTCAGGCCCGCAGGGGACAGCCGATGGCGAGTGCTGCCCTGGGGACAAGGCCGTGCCCGGGCGCCGAGAGCGCAGACCTGCTGTGCAGTCCCGAGCGCCGGAAGAGAAGCCCCTGCCTCCCGGGGAGTCGCCCCGGTTTGCCAAACACTTGGGGGTCTAACACATTTAACCCACAATCACCACCTTCAAGAAAAATAGCTAACCTTGGTAAGAACGAGAGAAACGACCTGACTCGGAGCTTAAATGACCACAAGGTTAATCTTATGCCTCCCGAAAACGTCCATCACAGTGAACTGCCCCCAGATCAGAGCAGACCTATAGCTACCGCCAGAACAGCAAAAACAAAACCATAAAGTACACCCTTTTAACTGAAAACAACTGAGCGTAAAAGAGTTTACGTTCAGAATCTTACATTTTTTCTATGAAAAGCAAGATGTGCTCAAATGGCCTCGTGAACGTGACGGAGAAGCCGCTGCAGCCACCCGCGACACCCGCAGGGTCTAGACTCATCCCAGAACCCGAGCTCTCCCCACAGCCACCTCCGGCACCCTAACTTAGGCGCGACCAGAAGGCAAGAAATGTGCGGAGGCCATTAAGATGGAAGGACAATAAACGCAACACAGCATGGACCCGACATTCCCACTCTCCAGCCCCAACTCCGGGCAACGTGTGCCGTGAAGCCAGGACGAGAGTGAGGCCGTTCTCCATGTACTAAATAAGCTAGAAGGTTCGCTGGAGGAGGCATGAGGAAAAAAAGCAAGGCGCAAGGCAGGGCATGTGGTGTCCACCACCAAGTAAACCTCTGACTGAGCCTGTCTCGGGGAGACACCAGGAGCAGTGACGGCAGGGCACCTCGCAGAGGAAAGAGTCACTTTTCCCTGTACATCCTATGCCATTTAGCTTTTCTGTCCTGTGCAAAATTCAAGAGTAGGACTTCCACTTCTGGGAAGACAGAGCAAACATACAACTAAAAAGCACAACTAAAATCCCTGGACTTCCTATTGGGGATAAACATAAAAAGATACTGAAAGATGAAGAGAAGGTAGGGTGGTTAGGGGCCTCAGGACCCCAGGACGACACGGTGGGGAGTTTCCTTTTTGCCTCCTGTACCCCATCCTGGTGCTGGAGAGGTGGGCAATGCAGAAACAACCACGGAAGGAAACAAAAAAGGCCCCCAAGGAGACAGCTAGCTCGGCCACCGCAGACAGCAAGGGCAGCCTGAAATGATTGGAGACCTGGACAGCAACCTCGTGACTCCAACAGAACAAAAACCGCACTGCCTCACCGCTCAGGCCAGCAGAGGAGAGTGGACAATCCAGACACCCCCTTATTTATGCTCAGAAAATAAAAAAAGGGAGTTAACAAGCTCATTTAAAATCAAAAAAGGGAGTTAACAAGCTCATTTTGTAAAACCAGTATAAAGGTGCTATGCAAACCAAACAAAAACAGTGTAAGAAAGCAAAATTACAGCCCAGTCTCACTTTTAAACAATCATGCAAAAATCGCACGTATCTGGAGGTATAATTCAGCACACACTTAGAATTTCAAAGCCAAGGAAGATTTACCTGAAGAATGAAATAACCAACTGCTCAATATTTGAAAACATACTAATGCAATTCATCATATCAGGAGCTAAAGATGTCCAAAATCATATAATCAACTCAACAGATGCACAAAAAGCCTTAAATGTCAGTATGGGGCCTCCCTGGTGGCACAGCGGGTTGAGCGCCGCACTGTGAAACTGTCCGCAGCCTCTGCAGTGCTGGTTCGATCCCAGTCGGCCGGCGAGAATCCCACATGGTGCATCAGACCTCTCCTGTCACGCCCGCTGCTCCCCTCAGCAGTGTATTTCATCAGTCTGCCTGTTCTGTTCCCCGTTCTGTCTCTGGTGAGTCCTCTCACCCTCCCGGGACTCTGGCCTGTACCCCGGCTCTTGTATAAAAATAAATAAATCTTTTTTAAAAAAAAAAAGTCAGTATGCATTTATGATTCAAAAAAATAATAATACAGCCTCCCAGTAAGCCAGGAGCAGAGGAGCATGGACCTAGGGGAGAAAAGCATTTCCTCAAAAGCCTGCTGCGACCCCTGGGGAGACCCAAAGTCTCTCTTTAAAGTCACAAAGACAAGAGCACCTGCTACCTCACCTCTGGTCACTGCAGTAGTGGAAACTCTAGCCGTGCAGCAGGACCATGACAGCAGGTGAAGCAGTGGGATTGGAAGAAACAAAATAATCATTACTTGCAGCGAAGCACAGCTGTCCTCACAGGAAGTATCAAAGACTCGGGGTCAGGCCCAGAGGCTGCAAGAGCTAGGCAGGAAACCCCATTCCTAACATAAAAACCTGCCTCACAGTGTGCATGAGCTTTGTGAAGAACACCATAAAGCATGGCTGAGAAAAGGAAACATGGATACACTATAAAACATGCATCCCACATTCAGGTAGGGGCGCTCTGTTCGTGAAGATGTCAAATTTCACCAAATTCATCTATAAACTGAATGCATCTTTAATCAATACCCCGTACTCCAGTAGGATTTTTCATGGACATTAAATTGATTCTAAAATTTATAGTAAAGAGTAAGGGTCTAAAACTGACCAGAGCTATTCTGATCAAGAAAAACAAGAGGAACCAGACCAAATAAAGATGATCGCCAGGTGACAGTATTTAAGAGCCCGTGTGGAGCTGGGGCAGAGGTGAGGGCACGCGTGAGTGGAACAAGGTCCCCACAGCACACGCGGTCCCTCCAGGTGATCATGTTCAAACACTAAACTTCTCTTAGAAGAGCATATAGAAAGTCTTTATCACTTCAGAGTAGAAATACTTTCTTTCAAAAGCAAAACAAATTATAATGGGAGTCTAAAAAATGTGACTATATCAAAATTTTCAATTTCAGTTTAAAACAATAATTTAAAAGTGATAGATCATAACTCAATAGCAAAAGAACAATTCAGTGGAAAAGCAGGCAGACGATCTGAACAGATGTTTCTCCAAAGGAGACACCCAGACGACCCGGGCGCAGGCACACGAAAGGCGGTCCCTGATCACCACAGAAACCACACCGGCCGCCAGGGGCTGCGCCACCCGACAGGACAGGGACAGCTCCTCAGAGAGAGGAGGAAAGGAACAGGTGCTGGGCGGCTGGGCGGAAACTCTTGGGCTTCCCTCGTGGCACAGGGGTTAGTCTCAGGCTGTCACTGCTGCGGCCTAAGTCCATTCCCAGAGAGGGAGCTGACCCACAGGGCGCAGCAGACCTCTCCTGTCTCCCTGGCGCTCCCCTCAGCAGTGGATTGCACTGGATCCGCTTATTCTGCTCCCCACTCTGTCTCTGGTGAATCCTCTCACCCCCCGCACCTCTGGCCTGCACCCCAGTTCTTGTATACACAAATAAATAAAAATCTTTGAAAAAGAAAACTGCTAATAAAATGTGAACGGAGTCCCCACAAGCAGAGACAGGCCAGCCCTGGCACTGAAACAGGCCAGGTCCCCGGGGCCCCGACCCTTCCCAACACCCACCACCTTCCCAAGCCTCCCCCCTCCGGAGCCTCACTAGCACTTCAACAAATTCGGCCAAAAACATAACTGTGCTCTCCCTTTCTTTCTAGCTCCAGCCCCTGCTGAGGCCTGACAGCAGGGACATGAGCGGTGCCTGGCGTCTGCCAGCGAGTGGGCCCTGCCTGCAATGGCGGGCTCCTGGCACGGCCACTGGACGCTACTGACAGCTCCAAATGCAAAGCATTCCAGCAGAAGATGCGAGGTCGGCCAGGAGAGCTGTTGCACGTAACAGGGTTACCATCTCATCAGCTCTGAACCGCCAGGAAGCCCAACGGGTCAGGTCAGCCGGGCACGCACAAGAAGAACCACAGGAGACCGAGTGACCCAGAGCGCCAGCCGCCATGGGCAGAGCCGCTGACACCTGAGCTCCCCGCTGACCATGGAGATAAGCCTGGAAGGAGGTGATGACGGTTAATGAGGTCACGAGTCTTCTAAATGGTGCAGACATTTATGACCGAGTGAAAGGCCCCGCCAACCACCCACGCCGACCCTCCCACGACCGTGACAGGAGCCGTGTCACAAGAGAGTCCAAGGACTGGAAAAGCGGGGGCTCCTGAGGTCACAGCGACAGTTGACCGCACTGTCCAGGAACCCGGTGCCAAAATAAACAACTCTCCCAGCTCCAGCACAATCTTCTAAAGGAAGATGGCAAGGAAATTAATACACCTTGAAACACAGAATCAGAACACTTAGAACAATTTTGAGAAACACAATCCTTTATAAACCCGAGGTGGAGCTTTACTTACATGAAGGGATAATGAACTGGGGCTCAGTGTTGCCTGCGTAGCCAAGCTTGGTATACCTAAAAGCACAAAGTCATCAACACATGTTTAGACAGTAATATCTCCTCGATGCACCATTAATGTCTTTTATTATGAGCTCTCCATGTCCTAATACATCAAGCCTCAGAATATTCCCTTGAAATTAAATTTTTAAAAAACATGGAGGGGCTGAGAATCAAGCACTAATTTCAGATAAGCAAGCAATTACAGAAACAAAGTATTACACTAGTTTCTACAGGAAAAATTCTTACATACATATATTAACACATAAATTGTATTTGTGGGCCCTCATAACCCTAAAAGTGCTTGTACACGCTTTTTTATCAAAATCCCTATGAAGCAAATCTAAGAAATCTGTCTTACAGATGAGAAAACCGGGGCACTGAGAAGCTAATAAAGCTGCCCAAAGCCAAACAGCTAGTGAACAGGTGGGGAAACCCAAGTCTAAATATGCAAACTCAAGTGCCAGAGCTGGCTCTCAAAGAAGTGAACTTACATCATAAACTTCATGAACTTGGGGGGAAGGGGGTATTAAAAATGATTACATAATTTGCTGGAAATGTCACCGCGTGTGTCTAGAAACAGCCACCTCCCGAAATCATCTGCCAGGAGCAGCTTCTCAGCATCTCGCTTCAGAACAAGCCCATTTTCTGTCAAGACACTCTGTATGATGGATTCCAAAAGTCTGAATTAAAACAAATGCCAAAATACTACTATCTATTCCAGAAGCATTTGCTAATCGCCTGAAGATTTAAAAAAAAAAAAACCAAAAAACAGGAGGTGGGAGGGGGCCCAGCTCAGAACCATCTGCTGGAAGTGCAAACTTGAGAGGCAATAAGTAAACTGCAAAGACTCCGGCCCTGCCTCTCCCGCCAGGACGGCTGCCGTGAAGCGTAAATCCTGGACCGCAGTCTGAATCACACTTGAATGAATAAAATACTTCCTAACAGTGTTGCAAGTAAATGAATTCATTCATTCTATTTTGCAAATAATTTCAAGATGCTTGATACTAAATACGTTTGATATGGTAACACATTCCAAATTCTAATCAATTAGTCCTGTGATTTTAAAGTTTTAAATGTATCTTACCATATGCTAATGTTATGATTTTTGAGCACATGGTGAAGGAATTAAGTTTGAGAAGACAAAAAAAAAAATAGCACAAGTCAGCATCTCTTAACTCAGGCCTCACCGCCGGGTCTCTGGGGGGCTTGGTGAGCAGGTCCTGAGGCCTGTCAGGCCTGTGGGGGAGTGGGACGTGTGAGGGTTTCTGAATGTTCCCCAAACTGTCAGATCCACAAGCCAAGTGGATCCCCAAGTCCCCACTCCACACCCACAGGAGGTTTCAGAGCCCAACACTGAACTTTAAAAAACCCCAGATCCTCCCAATTCCCGACAGCACGTGTGAAGAAAGGGAAGCACTGCCCCCGCCCAGAGTGTCCGCGGACTGACAGGCAGCCCAGGGACCGCTAGAGCCATCAGATCTATGTGCTTATCACAGCCCTCTCACATCACCCACATCCCCCCAAAAAACCCGTTGCCTAGATCGTTTCTCTTCTCCTCGGCACGAAGCCTGGCCCATGGGTCACCCATGTGGGCGTCCCCTGAGTGACCTCCACAGATGGGCCCCGGTGCTGGAGAGTGGGTGGTGGAAAGTCAGAAGGATGATTTGATAGAATCAGAAAAGCCAAAGAGATTGCCGAGGACAACCTCTCGCTGACAGGAAAAAACGCTCGTGTCTGTGTGACAGGACTTATTTCCAGAAAGAAAACCTGGAAAAAAGTAGGAAATTTTAACACTTATAAATTAGGTGCTGCATCCCACTCAAGCCCGCTACGCTCCCCCGTGTGGCTCCAGAAGGCCACGCTGCCGAGCCCTGGGCAAGTGACCGGCCGGGCTGAGTCTCAGTCTGTCCACCTGCAGGGTGGGGACAAGAGTCCACGTTCCTCCCAGGTGAGTTACGTACATATAAATCTATAAATAAACCTGCATAGGACACATCTGTCTATAAACATATGATATATATAAATTCATATAAACACACTGGGACCAGCTCTCCAAGTTAGTTTACTGGGTTTTACTGCCATCTCTTTCTGTATGTCTGAAAGAGTTCCCAATTTAAACCCTGAAAAGTGCAACAAAATTAAAAACCCAGTAGGCGCTGTGTCCCAGGCACACTGCTGGGTGTCTGCCTTCTCTCTGCACACCCCAGAGCCCGGATCTGTGCAGGGTGGAAACAAAACCCACAGCGGGTAAGCCCGGGAGGCATCTGACACCCCTCCAACGACTGTGTCTCACACCCAAGATGTGTGCCCTGAAACCTTACACCCTGTCCCCAGCAGCAGAGGGGTCCTGGCCGAAATGGGGTCAACTAAATGCTGACAAGGCCACTGCCCCATCAGGTGGGCACCTGAGCATCACAACGCGAAGCAAACGATGACTTCTGTGAAGGAGGCAACAGACTCACCCACATTCGTGTGCGTGACAACTACCATGAGATCTGCCCTCCGATCAAAACGGAAACCACCTCAAGGCACAAACCGCACAGGCCACTTGCGGGCCCTCTAAGAACAACCCTCACCTTGCCAGCGCCAGTCCTCCCCGAGCCTGTACACCCGAGGTGAGCGCGCTCTTACCGTCAGCACATGACACTGCAAGGACACCAGGTGTCCAAGCTGACCGACACAGGCTCATCCAAACTGCCACCAGGAGCTGTGCAGCACAACTCTGCACCCGAACAGGTGCTCACCCCAACTGTCCCAGGCAGGACAACCAGGACTGGCCTGGACACCGCAGGAGAGATGCTCGTACAGCAGCTCAGCTTCAGAAGGAGCAGAACCAATGGGGAAAGACCCAACAAGCAAAACCCAGCTCTGAAATCCGGAAGTGCCGACAGAACCAAGAGCAAATCGGCAGCTCTGCCCTCGACCCTGGCCCGGGGCCGCACGCGGGGAAAGCTGAGGGGAGCCGCAGGGGCTCACCTGTAGAAATGGGGTTTCCAGCTGAAGTTTGTGTTACAGCACGGCCTACTTCACCGGGCAGGCAAGCTTCAGATCGCCCGGGCGGGCTTCCAGAAAGAACGTTCCTAACCTGGCTGATCACATTCTGGGAAATTTCTGAATTCGGATTCTCAGAGCCTGTCCCACGACCACTAAGGGAATCTCCAAAGTCAGAGCCTGAACAGCTCCTTGACGCTCCATACACAGTGCGCTCTCTCAGCCCAGGCTGCCACCCTAGCAAGACCATTCGCCTCCCACCATGTCAAATAAGATGGACCTACAACGGTGAAGGTAAACACTGCTCAGAAATTCAGACATAAAAACACGTGGACCAATGTGATCTCACTGTTTAATATTTGTGTGTTTAGGCATTCTATGAAAAAAATGTAGAAGCTGCTTTTTAATTTGAACTATTTATACAATTAGGATACGGTGGGCATGTGTGTCTAGTAGTGGGAAACCCAGGTTCAAAACAGAACATTTTAATTCCTAGGGTGAGATGACTGGGGAGTGGGGAACCCCTGAAACCAAAAGACAGAGGAGCACCAGGGGCCCCACTAAAGTCTGTGGTCAATCAAGAAGACTCACGTCTTGCTTGTTCTGGAAGAACCACACAACACAAGCTACAAGGCAGAGGGGAAGCACAGGGAAGGACAAGACGAACATGTCTGCAGGTGACAACTCAGCCCAGGAGTGTCAAGCAATAAGGTAAAAGCAAGAGAAAATCCAGGAAGATAGCCACTCGCTAAACAAATAGGCATAAGTAACTTTCCTGCCCAAATCCAAGGCCACGCACTGACATAGGACCCGTTCACGCTGGGGTAACATGGAAATGGACTGTGTGGAGCATAGCGGGGCCTTGGTGGGCGCAGTGGGATAACGTGCATTTGCAGAGGTGCGAACCTGGACCCCTAAAACACACTGAACCAGCACTGCCTCGGTAAACCTACTTTTTTTAACAGAAAAGAACAGGGCACAGGGCGTGTGCACACGCGGGCAGGCAGCGAAGGCACCGCTCTCAGTCTCCAAGGGAGGGCCCGTCGTCGTAAAAGAAACATCCACTGTCGCTGCAGCTACCTGCCAATCGAACGCAGACCTTCAAGACCTAACGACCCTGAACAAGGCGCAGCAGGCCCCACACAGGGCAGCAAGGGCCTGAGGAGCCTCGCGTCATCTGCCAGAGGTGACCGCCGCAGACAGCACAGCCGAGCGGCATGTCTGCGGGGCTGGCCACACACAGCAGCCCACACGCACGCAAAGATGGGCACAAAAAAGGCACAGCAGCCGCACAGAGGATGACAGAGAGGCAGCACTGACCCAGAACAAGCCTGAGAAACAACTGCAGAGATGGGGTGGGGGAGGGGCAGGGGCACCCGCGGGGAGGCGGCCCAGGGGCGGCAGGGGAAGATACCGGGCTTGGGTGCTGGGTGGGTGCGGCCGCAGACATGGAAGAGGCGTGGAAGAGAGTGATAAGTCAGTGCTACCTCCAAGGAAAAATATTTGTTATTTAAAGAAGACTGGGAACGCTCAGACAGAGGGAACCTGAAACCCGTCACACCACCTAGGGCCATTCAGTAAAAGGCCACGCAACCATCCAGCGGACGGCTGACCGTGACGACCATTACAGACACATGACACAGCTGGAAAGTGGCGGCCAAGCAGCTTCCATGCCGTGAGGGCCTGAGGGGCCAGGCGGCCCGAGAGCCGGGAGCTTCCGGCGTCACCGGCATCGCCTCAGCACAGCCCCTTCAGCTCTGCAGGCGAGCGAGAAGGCTCCCCGTCACCAGGCCGGACGAGACTTCCCCGTTCGAGTAAAGAACATCGTCATTCGGTACCTCTTTCACGTCATTGCCGAGTGTTATCTGACGGCCGCTGGAAATCTGTATTTCTCCCATGAACTGTCCTCAGGTGATTTTTCTTCCAGTTTCGCATCTTACTGCGCATGGACGCTGACGCTCTGAGGACGCGGACGCCTGTCACACACATTACCCCTTCCCAGCGTGTGACCGCAGCTGCAGCTG